GAGCTAATATGTCAAACTCACATGTCTTATTTCTTTTAGCTTCATTATACTAATACAAAATATGTTAGTCTTATTTATTTTCAGAAATTATTATTATATCTACAACAGATCTCAATATATTATTATATATCTCGATAAGTTTAGAAATATTGATTTCGATTATTCTTGAAAGCTAAAAATTGATAAGATCATACTTTTATTATTGACTATATAACGATTGTAACGAATCAAAACATCACTAATCATTATCTTTGATATCTAGCTATTGGATATCTTAACCTTGTTGCTAAGAAACTATAGAAAAGGAGATAGGAAGTTGTGAATCCACATTTTTTGTTGATTCGTAGCTCTCCTACATTGATTGCATAGAATATATATTCTTGCTTGATCTCATTTATATAAATACAATTATTTCATAGAGCTGAAGAGTATGGTATTACTGTTGATTTGATGAATTTTGTTTATCAATTAACTATTCAATTTACTTCTTTTTGCTAATATAATTCTTTTTTCAATTAACCGAAAATTTTTAATTTATTAAACATCGAGTGATGGGAAAGTGAACAACAAGAAATAACTGTACGTTGACTTTTTTCTTCTGAGAGAAGTCAATAAATAGCTAAAATCTTAATCCTTTACTTATTCTTGTACAAAGGAGAATGTTAAATAATGATGAAAAAAAAAAACTCGGATCCAAAAATTTAGCTTTTCTTGGATTTGCAGTATTGATCTATATTCGCATTGTCATGCTTTAATCTCTGAGTTGGTATGAGAAGAGAGCTATAAAAGCCTCGCCTTATTACTTACACTTATTATTTTTCTTTGTCGAATATGTGAATTCAACAAAAGACAAATGAAAAAGCAAAAAAAAAATTTTCATTATTTAGGCTAATATTGGAAATATGGATAAAAAATCTGAACTTCAAAGCATGATTTTTGGAAATATAATTTTAACACAATTACAAGCTATTATTGTTGGTTTTTTGGCTGCTATTGTATCACTTGCTATGGGTTGGGTACCACAAGGACATTTTAATATTCGACATGCACTTGTTTTATGTAGTAGTAGTGTTTCAACAGCATCCATTGCTTCATTAGCTTTAGGTTTGTAATAGATATGTCGATATATATTGTCCATTATCATTATCCTTTTTGTATATATTATTTATACTATTCTATCAAGAAAAATATTTTTCTATCGATTATTTCTATACGTTTCATCTCAATTTTGATGATTCTATTTTCTATTTATATCATAATTAGAAAGACTTGTATTGATATTGATGATAATAGATATAATTTTATATATTAATAAATTATCTTTTTCTTTTTCTTAAGGTGGAATAATGATTCTTGTTATTGTCGGATCTCATAAATGTAAAATCAATCCAGATAATATTGCTACACCAATAGCAGCATCATTAGGAGATTTAACGACGCTTACTATTTTAGCTAGTATTGGTGGTTTTTTATTTAAAATTATTGGTAAGAATATAGTATATATATATTTGAAAATTTTTATTTCTTGTTTTTTTTTTCTTGTTGATTTAGATAATTATACATGGTTACCTATAATGATTACAATTATTTTTTTAATTTTAACACCAATATGGATTGTAATTTCTTATCGAAATGACTATGTTAGAGATGTACTTATTCATGGATGGTATATAAAAATATTTCTAAAAATATATATATATGTATATTAGAAATAAGTTGATTTATTATAGGTCACCAGTTATAGCTGCAATGTTTATTTCAAGGTGAATAGAATATTAATTTAGTTTTGGTTGATGAAGTTTTTGTTTTTGAAATAGTGCTGGTGGTCTTATATTGGATTTTGCTGTTCAAACACTTCGTGGTGTTGCTGTTTTTCAACCTGTTATGAATGGTAAACTGTTTTTTTTTTCTTACAATTTTCGAAGAAATCGTTTTTGATTAATTGAAGAAAAGTATCCTTATTTAGTCAATTACATGACACAATATTTTTCCGTCTGTAGAAAAGTTGAAGTAGGGGGGAACGATATCAGAGAATGCCAAAAGAAGAATTTCGACACAACGTTATTAGATGACGTACGAAAGCCAATGAATTTATATTTATGATGCGACAATTTGTTGATATAGTTCCTAATCAATGAGATAAGTTTATGATAATCAAAACGAATGAAAAGTCATATGAACTAATTGAGAGTTTTTCCCTAGTATAGTTGTCTGAAATTTGTTTAATAAATTTCTTATGAAAAAAGAAACAACAAAAAAAAAAATTTTTTTTTTACAGAATTTGCCAGACAAATCAACTTAGAACTTCGACTAGAATACCTATAACTCCTGAATGATTAATTCTAAGCATCTGAACTTTGTAGATCTTCCTATTGAAAATGTTAAGAATGTCATATTGAAAAATCTATAATTTACGATTTGATACAACTTCATCTCTTCTTCTAAACGATAAAAATCGCAGTTCTCTAGCTAGCTTCTATCAAAAGTTATTCAGATACTATCCACTAAATAGACATTCGTATATTCAGTTCATATGATAGAAAAATAGGTCTTATCGAAATTTTATTATTATTGTATTAGTCAAAGTATATAATCAAATAGCATAGAAAAATAAAGTATTCTTTTCTCTATCAGACTATATAGAAAGAAAGTTTCTTAAAACTTTTTATAAGACATTACAGTATCATTTTCACTGCTTTTTGACTGCCCTATGTAAGTCATAAAACGAGTATTGAAAAATTTTTACGAATAAATTCTGGAATAGTTTTGTTAGACCGAAACTACCGAGTAGAGCCCATCGGATCCAAATTCAAAAAATTATAATCGATCGAGTCTCGGTCCGAAAATTTTTGAATCCGATGGGCTCTACTATTGAGACTAGTAGAAAAAAGCTACCGGAATCGGGATCAAAAACAATTGGTTCTGCATATCTCTAGTTACAATAAACGCATGCTTACTACGACAGTTATATTTCGAATTGTAGAAATGAATTAGAGTGAATATTTTCTCGAATGACTAATTATATCTAAAGAAATAACAATAATTATCTATTGGAGATTTATTTTATTATGTATTTAATGTTAGTATTATATAGCTGAATAAAATATGTAATATTTTAGTTTATGAAGAATTGGACTGATAAGTTATTTTTTGTTTAGGTGTTGGTGGTAATTTAGTAGCTGTTCAAGCAAGTCGACTTTCTACTGCTCTTCATCAACATGGTAAACCAGGAGAATTTAAAGATCGTGCACATTATTATGCTTCAAAAATTTGTCCTAATCCATATAAAGTTTTTCTTTCGAATAGTATGTTGTTATTATTTTTATTGAATCATTCAAAATATTTGAAGATTACTTTCTTTTTTTTTTTAGAAAATAATTCATCCACAACACGTGTTTTATTATTTATGTCTATACCAGGTCATCTAACATTTGTTTTTATTATTTGGAAATTAGCAGTAAATCATCCTCGAATTTCGATTCTTTTTGTATTTTTATACCTTATAGCTGCATTTATTCAAGTAAAGTATTCGTTTTATTTTTTTCTTCTATTAAAATTTAATCTTATATTAAATAGGTTGCTATTCTTCTATACATTGCCCAATGGATGGTAGCTTATACATGGAGACATGAACGTGATCCAGATAATGTATGCATTCCATATTTGACAGCTATTGGAGATCTACTTGGTACTGCATTACTTACTTGTGTCTTTCTTTTACTGCCGTCTTCTATTTAGATTCCTTTTTTTTTTTATTTGTATATATCAAAAAAAAATAATAAAATGAGAGATTATTTGTTATTGGTTGAATATTTTCTTTAAATTGTGAATTGTTTCTCTTTTATTGATATGTTAATCTGATTGTTAAATATGGATATTGAAATAAATTAATAAAAAAAAAAAAACAAAAAGAAAATTTGGGAGTATTTTACATGTATTTTTTTTCTGATTATGATGCTTGTCGTCTATTGGTATGGAAGAATCGATATATAATTATTAATGTGTGTATATAAGAGAGAGAGAGGAATTCGGTGATACAATGATAATTTCTTTTTATTTTGATTTCATTGTTGAGATATTGAAAATTCTGATAGTTCATTAATTGTATACAGTATTTGTATAAATGATTTTAATTCAATCATAGTCTTTATATTAAAATTTTCATATGATTCTATAGAGCTTAAATCTTGCTAGTTTTAACCATTAATATTTCTATTTAGATTCTTCTAATCTAAAATAGAATCAATAACAGACTAGTATGTTAATTATTTAACCAACTGGTTTTATATTTCTCTGTTAATCAGTAATCAATCCAATTTTATTATTTCTGGTTGGTTGTATTTGCGTCATAAATATATTTTCCAATTAGTGTAACTATTTTTAGCTTAAGAAAATAGAATATTTTGAATAAAAAGCAGATGCTGTATAGGATCTACGAAGACATCTAAACAAATGTATTATTCATAGTTAGTCTACACATTAGTTTAGATTACTTTGTATTGTATATCTTACGAATTATGATTATATTAAATCCAATGGTAAAAAAACAACAAACTATTTATGATTTTTTGATTATTATCTTGCATATTTTTCATATTAGTCAGTAAAAAAAATGTAATTTTTGCTGAAATTGATCTTTTAGAATGTGACAGTCACGTATTTGTATTTTGATTTATGATAAAGCGAATATATATGATTGATAGCAAATGTTCTATCAAAATTGTAGACATATTTCATCTAGAATAGAAAATGTCAGACTAGGAGAAAAAAAAAAATACTTTTTTTTTTATTATTCTCTAATCGATAAGCTTATGAGAAATTTTTTTTTTTTTTTTTTTTACACTCGTCATTATTTTTCTTATACCTCATTTAATGAGGAAAAACTACATGGTATGTTTTGTCGTCATATCTTATCCAAATTGATAAGTAGACTTCTCTTTATATATGTATAATATATCATTGATTATCAACAGTAGTATATAAACATTACCATTCATATGTCATATTGTTATACGAAGTCGAGCAGAATTAACAACAGAATTACGATCATAAAGATCAAGTACATGTATAGAAAATAATTCTTAAACAAAAAAAAACAAAAACAAAATATCTACTAGAATAATGAACAATATAATAATGCTTAATCTTTCTTTTTTTTTTTCTCTATTAACCATACTTTCAATAATCCATATTGGTATGTATAAAATTTATTTTATCAAAAAAAAAAACAAAAAGAAAAAGAAAATAAAACTTTATTTTAGTATCATCTA